GGGGTGCTGTGGAATTTTACTGGACAAAACTTTTACTCCTGTCATTTTGGACACGGGTGTTTACTTATAATTTACCCTCAGCCGGAAACATGACGGCTTCATTTGGCAGCTATTCGTGAATGGGAATAATGAGTCTTTGCTTTCACACCTTCCCAAATGTTGAATGGCATTCAAAGTTCTGATGTTGAGGCGTGGCAAACTATGCTTAAGCCTCCGGTTGATAGCAAAACATAATAGTATTGGATCTCGTCGCATTTTCAAACAACAGAAAATATATTTTGCATGCCTAAGAAGAGCTTCTGCCTGTCATTTCTGCGAGATTGTAAGAATAACTCTGTAAACTACAATGCAGGTATTTAAAATAAACATCTGTCAATATAGCAACACTCTTAAAACGACATCGGGCCTATTCATCACGCAGGGGACACGGGAATGGGGGGAGGGGGGAGTACTAGGGTTATTCTTGGGAGGGGGGGGGCGCTAGGTAAAGTATGACGTGTAGATTTGTATAGGGCACGCATAGTTTTTGTGGATCAGGAAACGACATCTTAATTTGTCCGAGTCGACAAGGGCAGGCTATGGCAGACTTTGAAAGAAAGTCTTAATAAACGGAAATAGTCTGAGATGTGTGAAAACCAGCGAGGAAAACATTGACTGGTTCAAAGTGATATTAATTATTATAATGATAATAAATAGCATTTATACTGCGCATTTCCCATTTTCTAAAAAAAAAATGCTCTATGGTGCATTACAACGAAAAAGACATCACATCTTAAAAATTAATCGACATGCGTGTACGTAAAACAAAGTATTATACATGATATAAATGTAGAATGTGGGTAAAAATGTATATGAGAAATACAGGTGTCCGACAAGGCTGTGTCCTTTCATCATTGCTCTTCATAGTCTAAATGGACAAGAGAATACAAGAAGCAAACGACAATTAACTCAGAACAACTCAACTCAACGAACTGCTCTTCACTGACAACAAGAGTCTCATACACCAAGACCAGGGCAGTCTACAAGAACATAAATATCAGTAAATCTGTCCCCGGAGTTTTATGCACCCCACATAATTTAGCAAAATTTTATCATTTTTTGCATAATTTCTCATTATTTACCTTTATCATTCTCTTTTAATATTAACAGAATCTCATAATTTCACATTTTTGCCCTCAGTTTGCATACTTTCAGAATTTTTTTGCATAAAACCGCAAGGCATGTAAATTAAACAAGGCGTTTGAGAAATACGGAATGATTATGAGCGCAACTAAGACAGATGCGAGGAGTTGTGAACGTAGGATTGTGTCTTGCCCCTCAAAGCAGTCTGGCGGAATCTAGCGTAGGTGCCAATCGACAAACGAAACTAACACCAAGATTAATCCACATCGTAATGTTCATTACTTACTCTTCATCACCATCACCATCACCATCACCATCACCATCATCATCATCATCATCATCATCATCATCATCATCATCATCATCATCATCA